TGTGTGTGTGTGTGTGTGTGTGTGTGTGTGTGTGTGTGTGTTTCTGACTGAATAAAAAAGTATAATGCTGATAATATAAAAAATTAATAAAATATTTCTGGTTGGGGCACTGCTGTATGCTGAGTTTTTTGGGTTTTTTTAGGAAAATTTTCTTGAATGGTTAATACATTCATATAGTTCTAAAATCAGTTTGGAAATACATATTTAAGAAGGCTGATTCTGTGTGCTGTTTACCACCCACCCTTCCTGTGCACATACTCATTATTTTCCTGTAGTAGCATACTACTTATACTGGTCTTTGTCATTTCTGAACTCAACAGCATATCCACAGGTCTTTCCTTATTTGAACATAGACACCAGCCTTTTTTACAGCTACCTAGTATTCTGTTGTGTAGATACACCATAGTTTATTTTAATTAGTTCCCTATTGCTAGACAATGAGTTTTTCTATTCTTGCTATTAGAAACAATGGAACAAGTAATGTTCTATATAAGATAATTCATATTTATATAAGTTATCTACCTGGGTGATAAATCTTCAAAAGTAATATTGCTGGGTGCAAGGGTAAATACATTGGAATTTTGATAAACAGCGCTAAATTATGTCCTTTGCATTTTGTGTCATGTCATAATTTTTAGATGGCAAAATATAAAGCATATGTGTCTACCCTAGACATAGAATTATTTTCATCAGTAAAAGAACAGCTAAAAAAAATTAAATTTTGAGTAGGTTTAGAGATTTATGTGGCTTGAAATGCGGAAGTTCAAAAAGTATCTGGCCAAAACACTTTCCTCCCATCTTGTTTACTAACTACCAACTCTTCTCTTGCTCTAGTGGCAGCAAATAGCAGCATGACCAATCTTTGTGTGACTTTCAGATGCATATTTTTTTGTTCCTTTACAGACAGATGGTAGCACCCTGTACACTTCCATTGATTGTTTTTATTTACACTATATTGGAGATTGTCCCATATAACTGCCCTCTTCATCTTCACAACTGCATCATAACTTTTTTTTTTTTTTTAATCATAGTTTAGACACCCCACCCCTACCTCTCACCTTCTGCTTTTTGGTGGTACTGAGGATTGAATTCAGAATTCTCTGCACTGAGCTACATTCCCCAACCTTTTACATTTTCAATTTTTATTTTGTGACGGGGTCTCACTAAACCACTACGTTACCCAAGCTGGACTAAAACTTGCAGTCCTTCTGCCTCAGCCTCCCAGTGCTGAGATTACAAATGTGCAATACTATGCCTGGTTTAGAAATCAACTCTTTAAAAATATGCTGTTATAGTAATTAAAATGTTTTGATTCCTGTTAGGAATATATTTTTCCAAGACCAAAACTATATTAAAAATAAAGTTATTTTCTCTTTTGTTAAGTAATTCCTGTTTCTTCAAGGGTAGATGAACGTGTTGCCTAGCTTCTGGTACTCATGGACTTGGGTGGTGGTAGAACCAAGTATAGCAGCTTTGCTTGCTGTTCCTTTTTGGGAATAAAATTCATGCATAATGGGTAGAAGAGCAGAGGTTTTAGGATCCAGCCTGAGGCAGCCACACGTTCGCTAACCTTAGAAATTACTGTTTCTTCCATTTCAGGAAAGGAGACTACATAATTTGCATACCTTATTCAAATCTGAGGCAGTATAGCATGCATTAAAATCCCAGGTATGCCACTCCTTAAGTCACGTAACTTTTGGCAGGTCACTGAACCATACAAATATTGTTGTGTCTTCATCTGTGAAATAGGGATAAGAATAGTCTCTAAGTGACCAGCATGGTGGTACATGCCTATCTATAATCTCAGCAGTCTAGTAGGCTGAGGCAGGAGAATCACAAGTTTGAGCCCAGCCTGAGCAATTCAGTAATTTAGGGATACCCTATCTCAACATAAAACTTTTTTGTGTGTGTGCAGAACCAGGGATTGAACTCAGGCCCTTGCACTTGCCAGGCAAGCGCTTATTCCACTGAGCTATCTCTCCGGCCCAACATAAAACATTTTTATAAATTTATTTATTTTATTTATTTGGTTTTTTTTGTGTGTGTGTGTGGCCAGCTCAGCCCACCAGGGGGCAGGGCTGGCTGGCATGTGGTGCTGGGGATTGAACTGCGGTCCATGTGCTTTGCTAAGCTTGTTCTAAGTAGGTGCTTTAGACCACTGAGCCATCTCACCAGCCCCATAAAACATTTTTAAAAGGGCTGAAGGTTTCACTGAGTGTTTAGGCCCTGGGTTCAATCACCAATACTGACAAAAACCAAAAAAAGTAAGTCCCTAAATTACTGTACTGCTGGAAAGATTAAATGAACTATTATAGCTCAGGGTAGTAGCACACATCTGTAATCCCAGCATTCTGGGAGGCTGAGATAGGAAGATGTCCAATTTAAGCCCAGCCTGTACAATTTAGCAACTTAAGTGAAATCCTGTCTAAAAACATAAAAGTAAAAAGGACTGAGCATGGGTTGGGGAGATAGCTCAGTGATCTAAGTGCCTGCCTGGCAAGTGTAAGGACCCAAGTTCAATCCCCAGTATTGGCTCTGCTGGGCCTACAACCCTGGCATACCTTGCCGGCCACTGAGACTGGGCGTGGTGGCGCCCCCCTGTAATCCTAGCCCTGGGAAAGCTGAGACAAGACAGGAGGATCCCTGTGAGTTCAAACTGCATAACAAGACCCTATACCAAATAAATAAAAGGTAAAAATAAAAAATAAAAAATAAAGGTTGGGCATGCAACTCAGTGTAAAGGGCCCCGTATTGCAGAAAGAAAACCATGTGGGGAGGAGGGGGTACTTGCCTATCATAAATAAGTATAAATTAATATCTCTCTTTTGGTAGTGGAGATTCAACCCAGAGCTGTTGAGAAACAGTCCAACCTGCTGCTTATGAGAAAGAAGCATAAGTTAATTATTCATTATAAGCCTTGAATATATTATATTTTAGCAAGGAAAATCCTTTTTTTTCCCCCGCCCTGTATTTTAGAGAAGAGTCTACAGGGTGTTCAGGGTCTCACTACTAGATGGACTCATAGTGATCCGCCTATTTACAGCCTCCCAAGTGCTGAGATTATAGGCATGTGCCACCACACCCAGTCTCAATCGCTGTCTCAGCGCACCTGGGTGTGGGGTCAGCACAGCAGGCCTGAGATCGAACCCCAGCCCCTGCACCTCCCTGCAGGCGCTTTAATCCACTGAGCTATTTGGCCGGCCCTGAAAATCCATTTTACTATTGTCATTCAGTATAATCTTTTTTTGAATGACTCATTGCTAGTGTATACTTTGTTCTTTTTAAGTAAGGCTCTTATCTATTCAAAGAACACAGAGAAGCTTTACTGTTAGTAATCTTTAAGACTGTTCCCCTATAAGCACCTTACAGTAGAGATTGCATGTTTTATTTTCTACTGATAAGTCCACAGTCTAGCAGGTAACTGAGTATATTTGGTTAATTATTCCTGATTAGATAGCATTTTTGCCTTTTAACCTGGCTGTGAGATTATACAGGCAGGGAGTAAGCAATACAGCTAAAGTATAGAGATCACTTAGTTCTGTCCCTAACTAGTATTTTCAGACTCCTAACTACAACTCCTCATCGAAGTCTGTTTCTTTTTTGGTGACATTAATAAGACAAAGTAGAAAGAACTCTATCAGTACTGTAGTCAGCATAAGCCATATTCTTTTCTAAAGTGTTTAAACCTTTTTGCCTGGTTTAAACCTCTT